ACTCGGAAGCAATGACATAATAATAGTCTTGTTGTTGAATTATATCCCTTGAATGATGAATTATCTGTGTTGTTTTCAGCAGGGAGCCTACACATAAGAGCTCACATGAGAGAGCAAGAGTCCCAAGCTGGATCTTGAGCTTATTATTTACTACTAGTACTTCGATTGAAGTACATCATCTTCACGGTATGTGTGTAGATCTCCCTGGTTTGTAGTGTAGACCCTCTTTAAAACTTGACTTTGACCGTTCGCGTGCCAACAATCAATACACCGTCGACGTCTGCGTGATGCTAGTCATGTGCATGTGCTCAGTACCTTTTCAAAGTACTTCTTGTCAGGTCTTGAAGTTTTGAAGGCCTTCTCTAACTTTCTAAGTACAATACGAGTGCTCTACAAGACTACTTCATGATTGTATTTTGCTACATAATACCACTGGCTTAGTACCTATTATAATAGCAGCCGGGCAGTGATCCAGTCATAGGAAACACTCGAGATATAGAGCGTTGTGGGACTGCAAAAGCTAGAGTCCGTACGTGCTCGCAGGAGTTCTAATCCGTACTGAAAACATGTACTGTGGTGAAGATGAAGTGATTTGGAGAATCCACCATTATTATCAGGGAGTACAATCATGTACAATTGTACTACTCCCTGATCAGTATGACACCATAGTCACTAGTTTGAGGGAAAGATGCAAACGGGAACAGTCCGAAGAAAACATTGACTGTCACCACCAGGACTCGGACCAGGGACCTTCGCTTGAGGCCAGCGATGCTCTAACCAATGAGCTATGGCGTGGCTGTCATCTCAGCAGACACTGTTCAACATTTTCTTCAGACTTCGTAACTCACACTTCCTGTGAATCCACACAGCACAGGCGGGTTACAATGCCATACATGTAGTTATAAATCAAAGCTAGAGGTCTTATCTGTGGAGATCGGATATAGTGACCTTGCATATAACCACAGATTGAGTTTAGCGACACAATTCTGTTACCCAAGTCGTTTAGTACGTCCTTTGTGAAGATTGGGCTTAGTGACAGATCGAATCTACATGTAGTGACATTTTGTTCTCTCCCGAAGGAGTGTCGTTATATCCAATCTCCACTGTATCTGTGTTCTTCCTAGACCATGTTGACAGACTAGTACTGTATAGGCTGTGCTCCTACACAGGCTACCGGTCAAAGCCGCGACAACCTTGCTTTTTGTGATTTTGCACCGCCACACCCGGGCCCCAGTTCCGCTGCTGATTGCTCGCGTTTTGGGAAGTGAAGCTGCAGCGCGGTATAATAATAATTATGTGTGTGTGTGTGTGTGTGTGTGTGTGTGTGTGTGTGTGTGTGTGTGTGTGTGTGTGGTGTGTGTGTGTGTGTGTGTGTGTGCGTGCGTGTGCGTGCGTGCGTGTGTGTCATCTAGATCTACACCGCGCTGCGGAGCAGCCAATAAGACTTGAGAGGCGCGGCCAGTTCATCTGGCGCACCCAACGCGTCAACGACGAAGTATGGCGGAACTGCAGCGGTCATTTCGCAGCTTGAGCCTATCGGCTGAGTTGATCTGTTACGGGCTCAGCTCTACTACCTGGCCAGCAAATACATGAGAACAGTAGCCGAAGTAGAACACAATCAGGGCCAGTCGTCTACTGCATGGCTCGAACACTGTAGGAAGTAGATACAGGGGTAGTTCAAGTCCAGTACGAGCCGTAGTGTTTGCTGCAAAGCTAGCTAACCACTAGACCAATCCGTCTAACGCCATTTGTCCATAAACCCTGGTTGCTCCTGCTGTTCCTTCACACGATGGCTCTGCAGTATCCGCGAGAACGTACTGGAAAGGTTGAGGCGTTGGTTGCTGCTGTCCCGGTTAAACCACCTGGGCCGAGCGACTGGCGCAGACAGTCCGGCTACGCAATCCACATGAGAGCTCCGTCTAGTACAAATTGTAGACAGCACTATGCGCGACCTTCCAGCAAATTATTATGTTTAGAAAACGAAAGGAATCCGTGCGCACTGTAGCCCGGATCAGAGACATGGCCTGCAGTAGACATGATCTATAGTGCAACGGCATAGGACAATGTTATTATTATTATTATTCTTTATTTCCACGATGGCCCATGGCCAATAAGGAAGATATGTTGTGCGTGTGCATGTGTGTGTGAGTGAGTGTGTGTGCGTGAGTGTGTGCGTGAGTGTGTGTGTGTGCGTAAGTGTGTGTGTGGTGTTGGAGGTAATCGAACATGTATGTTACCGGCTGGCATGGTATAATAACCTTTTCTTCATATTTACAATGTCAATGGCTATTTAGTATTTAGTAAGTGATGCAAAGGAATATTCTAGAATACCGACACCAGAAAGAATATTCGAACACAACCAGTAGCATTCGAGTACTCTATTACTCGAATATTTGGCTGCGTTGCTGTATTGTGCAGCTCCGACCATGATCTCCTCTGCAGTGTAGCGGTTGAGAGGGAGGACATTATGTTCTGAGAACTGTGAAGTTTATTCTTAGGTCAAATTTGCTCTTTCACCAGTGGATGGGCACGTTCTCTGTTGACGATATGACTGTTAGCTTTGATTGATTGAAGTGACTGAACCACTTCAGAAGAATATTATAGAATATTCGTTCGTTCGCCAAAGCAATATTCGAGGGAATATTCGTTCGAAGAAAACACCAGTATGTTAATTGTGTTGCATCACTACTATTTACCTCAACTGGTTCTTCACTTTCTGTACCACATTTTGTGGATTGAACAATAAAGATTAAGTACTACACGTATATTGTTACGGTCATTCATAATAATAATAATAAAATAATAATAATTAGTAGCAGTACAGTCACTATCGCCTATAAGGTTGGCGGCTATAGTGATATACCGGATATAGTGATATACCGGATATAGTGATCAACTTCTCAAATTCATTTTCACTTGCCATAACTAAGTATACACAGTTACCGCGTATAGTAATAATCGTCTATAGTAATTATATCGCCTAGGCTATAGTGATCAAATTCTTATTTCAAAAGACCTTTGTTACATTATTTTTTGCATCGGTTATAGTGATTGATGTAAAATCAAGCGATGTTAGAGGAGAACAGGGTGTTACTTCTTCGTGAAGAACTTGTCCAGTGAGTGTTGTTTGGTGAGTTTTGCTCGTACAAGTTTCCAAAATATGCCTCCATCGTGAGGAAATGCTGATTTTGTGTGTCAGGAGCTACAGCCAGCTACATGTACATGACATTGTCCATGTATGTAGTGCGTATGTGCACGGCGCGCTGAGTCGTTTGACACCCCACTCGCATACATTGCATGCAGTATCGGTCATAGTAATAATTATATCGCTTATAGTGATAAAATGCTCAAAATCAAACACCAACGCTATAGGCGATACTGACTGTACTGGTATTGGTAGACCGCAGTCATTGCAGCTGGTCGCCAACACCAGATTGTGCTATGCGACCATGGCGGAGGAGACTTCTCAGTCGTGTCAGAGGCCATGGTCATGGTGAGGTAAATCCAAGCGGTAGCACTGCAGTGCCTTGGTATCCGTCAGTGTTACTGGCAGCATTGATCTACTACTACTAGTACTAGTAGTAGTGCATGATTGACTGTACTAGTATCTTAAAAAATGATGTATCTAAGACTAAGGATTAGCCAAGAGTGCAGCGTGCTGTTGAGGGGTTCTCTTGTGCTTATACAATGTACATGTAGTTTGTACATTGTACTTTTTGTAGGCTATATAGCACATGCGTGTGTGGCAGGGTCTACGCAAACACCGCATTTGAGGAATCCTCAGACAGCGGCATAATAATTATACAGTAGGTGCGTGCATGCACAGACACAGACCACGTACATGTCATTGTATTCACTTATGATCCTGAGTCGAACGCCGGGAAAGGGTTTAAAAATTTTTTTTGAATGGGTTGACTTTGAGTTTGAGTTGTGAGTGACGAGCGCCAGTTCGTGTCCTCTTCATGGTCACACACGTAATGCCGACCATTTCAGTGATCATAATGGCGTTATGACGCAAAGGTGGTACCATGCACAATACAACTAATGTACTCTGCAGCAGCTATCCTAGCAAAAATGAAAGTAAATAACACGTTAGAAGTCTCCAACATAATCATGGTGTGCCCCACTTGAACGGTCGCTGTTCGCGCCGCATAAACTCCGTGGGGGTCGGCGGTAAGGCACAGGGAGAAGATTGCCTTTCGAAACACAACGTGCACTTGTCACTCATAGAGATCTTTTAGAACCCTTTGAGAGCCGATTGGAAGTTTCAAAGATTCATACGTGTGTGAGCTCCAGTACGGTGTACTGAGCCTGCACTGTGCACATTTTCACTGAAGACCATAATAATACCTATGGCGCTGTTATGTGTCTCTGGCTGCTGGCACTACCGACTACTGAGTACTACACCCTCATCAGTCTACCTGCATGATCGTACAGTCCAAGTCATTGCTGCTGCCTGCTGGTGAGACTGAGAGTGAGAGACTGAGACGAGCTTGACAGGCACGAGAAGACGTCTAGCCTCTAGTACTAGTCTAGGGCTACATAGTTAGTACTAACGTAGACTGGGCATGGGCTGGGATCATGGGGATGGGCCACATCCACCCCCTTGACCTTGTGCACCGCTTCAGCATGATGTGTGCGTGTGTGCGTTCGTGTGTGTGTGTGTGTGTGTGTGTGTGTGTGTGTGTGTGTGTGTGTGTGTACACGGTGTGTGTTCGCGTTTGTGCCAGGAGTTGTAGTACTAGTAGTAGATCTACGTGTAGAAGCTTGGGCGCTAGCTACATAGACCTACAGTACAAGCCTACAGGCTACAAAAAGTACAACTACAAGGACTATGTAGGCCCTTGCACTCGCGCGTGCATTGCGTCCCGTGTAGACTCCAGCCAGATGAAGCATTGTAGAACTCTAGTGCAGTGTAGTGCAGTGTAGATCTGTCCTACGTGTACTTTTGTACTGTCTGTACTCTGTAGGCCGTGTACTGTGTAGCTAGCGAAACGTCATTACATTGCAGACCACCAGCCAGCATATTATTGTCCTCGGCCAGGGTGGTGCCTGGTGGTGGTGGTGGTGATAACGATATTAGGGCACGAACTCGACCTTCGCCATCCAGTGGGAGATACGACGGCAGCCGTGCAGTTTTGTAGTTTCCTCTCCTTGCGAAGACCTTACACCTTACCGGTTGTCATTTTCTAACTGAATACTGGCAGAACAAAACTGTGTCTTTGATGTAACCACTTTCCGTTTTGGTGATTCCTTTACTGTCCTATTTGACCTCTTCACCGCTGCGTTGCTGTTAACTTTCATCGCAAGTCAACTACTGAGCCTGTCGAGGTGAGTGAATTTTTTCTAGTGGAAGTGTGGCTTCTTTGTCGTTTGATCCTTCAGGCTTTGGGTGCTTCACTTTTCCGCAAGCTGACATAGCTGTCGTCCCAGCAAACGTGATGCCTGTTTGCGCTTGCAGTGCCAGGTTGTAGTAATAAGCGTTCAGTGCGAGCGCACATGCTTTGGGTGATCTGCTATCTGGGTTTATCGGCGTGTAGGACACGGGCTGGCAAGCCATTCGAGTGCCAGTTCACTGGCCTTCTCATGGCTTCACGAAGTATCTCAAGCCACTAGTAGTACTAGCGTTGGGTGTGATGACGATGAATATAATAATAATATTATGGCCACTCAATCTCAGCGGCTCTGTACCTGTGTACTGTAGCATGCCTTTCGAGAGACTGGGTATATTGTCTTCACTCGACCAGCACGTCCTTATCCGTTATCGTCCAGCAAGCGGCGTCCTGCGATTTGAAAGTGGTCGAAACTCGCGAGTGAAAGCGTTAGAAACAGTGGTGTCTATTTGTGTGCATTACGCTCGTATACAAGTGAAGCGGTGGACGTCGGGGTCAGCAGAGGTAATCCTTACCTTGATTTTGAAGCGACTGTCAGGTCGAAGCAGGACACACCAATCAGCCAAAGAAGACTAGGCGTGTGCCAATAAATAACATCCAGTCCTGTCAAGTTATCAGCTACTAGTAGTAGTACTGACGTATTTTTCTAGCGTCTCTTTCTGAGTCAACTGGTTACGGTGACGGGCTTTGATCATGTTGATGAATACGAGGGAAACGCGTGGGGAATCCGGCTTTGCTCGGCCTCCTCGTAGGAGAGAAGCGGCTGTTTTGAACGCCGAGCCCCGATCCAGTCTGCGGACGTGGCGGCGCGCAGAAGTTCCCTCGAATGGCTGCTTTAGAATGTTGAGCCGGTGTAGGCTGAGTGCTACTGTCGTGGACATGGAAATCCGGTCGCACATCTAGCGGCCCCCAGGGCGCTGAGGGCGCGGGGGCTGTCAATGGACTGTATTTCCATGCCCACGACAGTCGACAGTAGTGCCCCCCCCCCGACCTTTGTGGCGAGGTGTGAACTGAGTCTGTGTTTGATAGCCAGGACCAGGGAGTAGTGAAATAACTACTCACTGGCTAGGACACCGTGCTGACCATAGTGACATGCTATGTGTGTGCAACTCAGCAGCTGTGCTGCGCAAGGCCCCTAGTATTAAATTTTTTAATTTTCAACGGGAACTAGGCCCAATGGTATAAAGGCAAATGGACCATCCGCATTAATTTTATAAATGAAAGAAAAGGAATTCGTTGAGTCTGCAGAATATTCCGAAAGAAAAAATGGATGCTCTGAGCTGTATATGTAGAAGCTTACAGACACTTGAGAGGAATCCAAAGCGTTTCTGCTGTAATTCTGAGTTTCACGATTTTAACCGATCATCAGACAGCAACTATGTAGAAGTTTATGTGCCCGCAGTACCCTCAGGAATCTTTGTGCAGGTCTTGTTCCACCACCGCCAGGAAGCCAGAAAAAGCGCTGTGCTTCGACTAGGTTTGACCTTGTTCCCATTCTGCCTGCATTAGAGTAACAGTGTGAGGTACGAAGAGACTGTCCCAGTTCCTGGCCTGATGGTTAAGGGTGATGGTGGATGACTTCCTGCCAGAGACCTGTTTGATTGACACGATGATGAATTCGAATGATTCGCTTGTTGCCGACGTTCCGGGACCTGTCGTGGCAAGGCTGAGTCCGAGTGTGGTGTGAGATTACCTGGAAGTTGCTGGATCATACCAATCCTGTTCACTTTGAGATCGGGAGGACATGGATGGAACTTGTTGGGACAATTTGGCTTGACATGGATTGTGGTGTTTCCAACAAAACCTCGGGATCACTTGGATCGCCAAAGAGAGAAGAAGATAGTTGAAAATGTAAAAGAGTTGGCAGCGTAAGTACGCCTACGGGAAGAGATGGTTTGAACTGGGCCATGTGGGGTGGCAGCATATGCGTCTGCACTCGCGTGCAGCTGGACAGAATGCGTACCTGTACTGCAACCCCAGTGGCCAGCGGCATGGTGATGATGTACTACTGGCACGACGGGTTCAAAAGCAACTTGCCGCACATGGCACAGTTCATTGGGCACGACGGGTTTAAAAGCAAAGGCGCACATGGCACAGTTCATTGGGAATGACGGGTTCAAAAGCAACTTGCCGCACATGGCACAGTTCATTGGGCATGCCACACTGTGACTACACATGTACTAAGGCTGTGTTTACATGAGAAATTTCAACCCGGGTCGAGTTCAGCCCGGGTTGAAAGTCTGTACGATAGACAAAATAGGCGAGCGTTTACATGAAGACAGTTGACCCGGGTCAAATACTGATATGCCGCCAAAAGTCCACTTTTAGAGTCCTGTATGGTCAAGTGAATCCGTTTGCGCGAAATTTGCATGTGCAGTGCTGTTCAACCTGGCGCGAGATACGCCTCATGTAAACACAGCCTAACTTGGTCAGTGGCGCAGTGTGATTGTAAAGGACAGAGCTGCAGGTGCTGGGGGAAAAGGAGTCGCAGGCAGAGAAAACTGCTCTTGCCGCGGTGCCATTCGGGGGTGATTCCCTGGAGAACATGCAAGTCAAACCAGAAACTGGGAGGCCTACTGGGACACCATAATGCTTACAAGAGTTTGCAATGAGAGGAAGAAAGGGCCCGTGATCCACTTTAAAAGAGAAATTGTGTGGTGAAACTTTGCCACGTGGGAGGGAGGTGGGGTTGATCTAAAGAAAGCCATTTTTTCAGCTTCAGGCCCTGGGTAGCAGCAGGATTTGAATAGGTGCCCACGGATGAGCTGGCCATTAGGGAAGGTGACGGGTATAGGATGACAAGCTAGTACCCTGGCGCTACTGGGGGAAAGGTTGACATCTTACTGCACACACTACCTTGAGCGATAGGTCTTGGCTGATCAAAAGCAAGAGTGGCAATTCGAAACTCATGCGATCAACTGGAGTGGTGGCTCAATAAATACACATCCATGTATATGGAGAACAATGCACGCGCAAAAAACGAACAGCAGTGTATAGGGCTCCACCTAATCTGTAAGGGGAGTCATGCTCGGCAGGAATGGTGTGCCAGGGCATGCACCACCCGGTCGTTATCCTGATACTGTGGTCTGATGTGGGTGATCAGGCAACTGCTCCTCGTGATGCCTGAAGCTAGAGATACTTCAGATGTCAACATCTCTCAGCAGGATGAGAAGATCAAGATTCCGTGGGATTTCACCACCCAGGACGATCGCTTTATTGGGCACTGATGGCCTGATACTCTTCTAATTGATCGACCTGCCAAGAAGGCCCTGATCATTGACATTGTTGTACCTGGTGATCCGCAATTTGCTGAAAAGGAAGTTGAGAAATGTGACAAGCATCAACTTCTTGCTAGCGCGGTTTCGGCTATGGCAAGTTGACACTCCGATTGTTCCTGTGGTAGTTGGTTGTACTGTTTCCAAACAGTTGCCTTGACACCATTGGTTCTTACCAGTTACTGCTCTGTGGCAGAATTACAAAAGAAATCCCTCCTTGGATCCTGTGTAAAGCCCTTCATTTGTACTGCTTGTCGGTGTGTGGTAGAGTTGTTTCGGTCCTGTTTTCCTACGAACTCTCTCGTGTTTCTTACGATCGGTGTTTAAAGAAGTGTCGTGTGCTTCTCTCTGTTGTTTACCTACCATAATTTAGCATCCATATGATGCATGGTCCCACCTTTGGTTACTGGATGCTAGCCCGGTTGGTGCCAATGTCCAGGGTTCTGCCGGGTGCTGATGGAATAATAAAAATAAAATAAAAATAATCACCAGCTTGGACAAGTCAACATAGGCTTCTCGTTACAGTGCTTTGGTATGTTTCTGCTGTGTAGCCCGTACTGCACTGTACACAACCACTATATCAAGCTGTCTCTATCGATCTGTCACAATGTTTTCACCTACAGGTGCCTGCAACAACATGCGCCCTGTGGAAGACCCCAGCACCAGTAGAACTGGTAGTAATAGTGATCTCCTGGAGCCGGTCTTCACGAGGGGGCCTTCACGGGAATCCGTCGGACTGACAACGTCGCCGATAACGCAACTCCCACCGATCCTGCCTGAGATTGATCATCACCCTATAGCTGGCTTCCCCGATACAAGTCCGGCGTCACATGGCTGGCTGGGAATTCAACATATGCAACCATCCCCTCCTTCCAGCGCCAATGCACAATCACACATCTCAGCTGGGTAAGTGCAAAGGCCGTTAGTTGGCTATTTGGCCTTGGAGAGAGAGAGAGACAGAGAGAGAGAGAGACAGAGAGAGAGAGACAGAGAGACAGAGAGAGAGACAGAGATAGACAGAGAGGGAGGGAGAGAGAGAGAGAGAGAGAGAGAGAGAGAGAGAGAGAGAGAGATAAATAGATAGATAGATAGATAGATAGATAGACAGAGACAGAGATAGATAGATAGATAGAGAGAGAGAGAGAGAGAGAGAGAGAGAGAGAGAGAGAGAGAGAGAGAGAGAGAGAGAGAGAGAGAGAGAGGGAGAGAAATAGATAGATAGATAGAGAGAGGGGGGAGACAAAGGGAGAGAGAGAGACAGACAGACAGACAGACAGACAGGCAGGCAGACAGACAGAAAGTCAGACAGACGGACAGACAGAGAGGGAGAGAGAGTGAGAGAGAGGTAAAGTGTGAGTGAGAGAGAGACAGAGAGAGAGTGTGAGAGAGACAGAGAGAGAGACAGAGACAGAGAGAAAGAAAGAAAGAAAGAAAGAGAGAGAGATAGAGATAGATAGATAGATAGAGAGAGAGAGAGAGAGAGAGAGAGAGAGAGAGAGAGAGAGAGAGAGAGAGAGAGAGAGAGAGAGAGAGAGGGAGGAGGGAGGGAGGGAGGGAGAGAGAGAGAGAAAGTGAGTGAGAGACAAAGAGGGAGTGAGACAGAGACAGAGAGGGAGTGAGACAGAGACATACAGAGAGACAGACAGAGAGACAGAGAGACAGAAAGAGATAGAGACAGAGTGAAAGAAAGAAAGAGAGACAGGGAGAAAGAGAAAGAGAGAGAGAGATAGAGAGAGAGAGAGTTAGAGAGAGAGAGAGAGAGAGAGAGAGAGAGAGAGAGAGAGAGAGAGAGAGATAGAGATAGAGAGAGAGAGATAATGCAGTGGTCAATCTAGAGTGACACCTAGTGTGACGTGTGCTACTCTTCCTTGTTTGTAAACATTCTCCTTCATGTTCACTTGACTGGTTGACAGGAATGAGCATTACATCATAGCATTACATCATAGCATGCGTTTGTTTGCAACTTTGCATGCCAGTGACGCTTACCTGCATGGCTAGCTGGTATGAGTGACATGCAGTTTTCTAGTTTCAATGTGAGGAAGAGTAGTGCTCTTTGTAGTTATGCAGATGCTTTGTCGGTTGTCGGGTTTCCTCTTTTCTCTTTATTGTTATGATACCAGTCCATTGAAAAAATATTAACTTCCAGATTTGGCCATAAACGGGTCAAACTACTTCGAAGTATCAGTTTTTTTATAGCAAAGAAAAAGTACCAGGAAGACTACACGTTACTCTAGAATGTCCACTTACACCCACTACCAGCTACTTGAATAGATCATGTGATAACGTTGCACAACACTGACCTACTGACTTTTGCATGATTCTTGTTTGCTTAGCTTCCCCTCAAATTGATCTTCGAATCTTTAGAGCCACACAAGTTTTGTGGTATTTTGCTTTGCGTCCTTGTATCGCGGTTTGACCGTATTGTCCGAGTGCCTTGCTAGTATTGTCATCGACATACATTTCCATGTACACCCCCCAACATCCTTCACAGCTGAGACTTTCAGTCTGAAAATTGTGCTTTGTCTTGGCTGCTTGCACCTTCCCTTCCTATGTTATTCCTAAAACGTAGAACCTCCCAAGTTGGAAGGCTGTTGGAGGGCGCATCCAGGACATGCTAGAGCTGATTGGAAGTTAGTTGTAGAACGTCAGAATCGTCGATCAGTGTTGTGCCGTGTCAGCGGATGAGCTGATTGTCAAATAACTGCTCAGGGTGTTAGTGGACATTTTAGCGTAACTTGTACTTACCTGGTCCTTTTCTTTGCTATAAATTAATCCATGGCTCTCCATCCGAGTTAACCGCTCAGTTTTTGAGAATATTTTTGCAATCCCTATGCAATGATTTTCCATAAAAAGTAAAAAGGACCAAGGAACTACAAGTTACACTATAATGTCCACTAACACCACCAGTTACTAAAAAATCAGCTCATGCGATTACATTGCACAACACTGACCGACGGTACTGACGTTCTACAACTAACTGGCTAACAGCTCTAGCACATCTTGGATGTGCACTCCAACAGCCTTCCAACTTGGAAGGTTCTAAGTTATAGAAATAACATAATAGGGGAAGGTCCTTGGCTCTCCATCCGAGTTCATTCAATGATTTTCCAATAATATTTCTGAAGTCTATTTTCTCCAAAAAGCAATCAAAAGTCGATTTCTAATCGAGAGGTTAGGCGTTTAGTCCCTGACGATTCTGGTCACACCCGCCTTTCTTCTCTTTCTCAGTCTCCTCCTGATTTTTCTTTTATCCTCCTGGGAGTACGTGGTGTGATGTGTGGGTGGAAAAAAGGATGAAAGAGACCAAACAGTAGGGATTCACTGGCCACCAAAACCACTTCAAATACATTTAGCTGCACGGTGTAGACCAGGCTGAATAGTGGCGGTCAATTCTTTAGCCTTGGTAGCTGTTGAATACGGGTGAAATCCGATAACAAGTTGCTATGGCTTCTGCTGTAGCATTGCTATTATCACTTCCGACGATGGGCGTCAAAGGCCAAGGTCAAAGGTTTGCTGTCGTCCTGCCGACTCAGTTATAATAAAAGTGAAAAATAGTGGGTATCAACAATGAATACAAGTGCTATAGGCGAACAAATACTGATCGTGAGAAGCTTATGTATGCTTTGGATACATTCTTCAAGATTGGTTGCTTTTGTTGGAGGTTTTTTCTCTCACCAAAGGGCTAGTTCCCCATGAAGCGCTGCAGCTGAAATATCGTTATGCCCTTTAAATTATGTTGGTTTACTGACTTGTGTATTTTGCCATGTACAGCAATGCAGCCAGGCCAAACGTATTTTCGTTTGAGAGCCAACCCACCAGTCGGTTGAGTGGAGCAGCGGCAAGCACCTTCACTCACAACGGTTTAGTTCCACAGGGACAAGCACACAGCGCACTGTCAGCATTCTCCAACCCCAAAAATCCGCCGTTTCTTCAGGCTAACCAACAGCTGGCCGAGCGCTTTGCCAACAGCATTCTGGGTGATGCAGGAGTCCGCATTGTGAATCCAGGATCAGCTCAGGGTAGTTTTGGGTATCTACCTCATAGCTATGAGCCATCACGATCACAGGCCCTACGACTACCACAACAACACCAAGAACAACTGCAACAACAACAACTACTGCAACAACAACAACTACTACAACAAATACTACTGCAACAACAACAACAACAACAACAACCACAACAGCAACAACAACCACAACAACAACAACACCAGCCATCACATATCCCGAACTTTCCAGAAATGCCACAAAGTCACCACGACCTCAGCAAGCCACTCCCACAGAGTGCCTTACTTGGGCAGCAGCCGTCAATGACAGAACCTGCAAAGCCCGCCAAAGCCAAACCAGTGTGCCCGGAATGCAACAAGAGCTTCGCAAAGCCCTCGTCGCTCAAGACACACATGGCGGTGCACACTGGGGAGATGCCGTTTCGTTGCGAAGAGTGTGGACAGGCCTTCAAACAGCGCACTAATCTAACTGCGCACACGCGCACGCACACAAAGGAGAAACCGTACCAGTGCAAAAGGTGCAGCAAACGCTTCTCGCAGTCCTCGTCTCTCAAAAACCACACGCGGACACACACCGGGGAGAAGCCTTATCAATGCAACAAGTGCAACTTGAGGTTTACTGACACGTCGACACTGACCAAGCACAAGAGAATACACACAGGCGAAAAGCCATACAAGTGCAAAAAGCCGGGCTGTGAACAGGCATTCTCACAGTCCGGCAATCGCAACCGCCACATGGATACCCACAAGCCGCCTAAGGAGAATGTTGAGAAGCCAGCCAAACCTGACAATGGATCCAACTGAACAGGCACTGCACTATTGCACCAGCATCTCCAGTTCAACAACGACAATGTCGGCAGGAGAACCAAATCAGGAGATAACAGCGCCAGGAATTGAGGTTTAGGTGAGATTATTCCCAAAGAATGCAAAATATAGTAGCATAGTAGCATCTGGCGCTAGCCAGGGTGCACAGCGCTGTATTCGGTATGTGTGTGTGTGTGTGTGTGTGTGTGTGTGTGTGTGTGTGTGTGTGTGTGTGTGTGTGTGTGTGTGTGTGCCTAAACTGCAATAGCTTTTGATGTCATCCTAACACAACACCCCCCCCCCCCCACTATCAACAACCTAACTTCTTTGATTTTTTAAAGGCAAAACCCCATACAAGTACAATGTCATGTACTGGTATAAATATAGATAATAATATTATAATGCTGTCTGATGAGTGTTTTCACACGACTCTCCGAGTAACAGTGGAAAGAGATTTGTTTGCTTCATTGCTGTGTAATGTTTGTACATGTTAAATTATACTGATTATGGATTATAACTGTCACCCGCTATCAACACTCTCTCTGGTTTGTGTACATATGTATGAAATCATGTATATGCTGATTATAGTCAGTACCATCCCTAGGTTGTCCTGCTGATTGTGCAACACCCGTGAAAGTCGAAACCAAAAACCGGATCACCTTCTTATTATGTACGTAGCCATGCATTCCTCCTGTGGCTGTTCTAAGACTTAATTAAAGCACACTGCATGTATGTATATGCATGCATAGTCGGCTTGCGATACAATGTATGTGTACATACATGTACATGCACACTACAGAGCTTCTTCTTCCAAACCATTTGTCGTCAAATGGGCATATCTGATTTAAATTGCAATACGAGTAATTATTCTCATATCCCTCCGGAATGGGACTCACGATGGCAGAATTGACCGTGAGCATGTGGACATGTGTGTGTATGTGTGTGTGTGTATGTGTGTGTGTGTTCAGGCGCGTGCCCCGAATGGGTTCCTGGGTGCCCTGCACCCCCCCTTTTTTCGCTCAAAATCCAGGATTTTGCTTCATTTTTTGAAAAAATTCCCCGCGGGAAGCCCCCGAACCCCCCCCCCCCCTGAAAGGCACCGGCGCACGCGCCTGGTGTGTGTGAGTGTGTGTGTGTGTCCCATATGGTGCAGTGGTATGTGCAGTCGATTTCCAATCGAGAGGTTGCGGGTTCAATTCCCGACGATTATGGTCGCACACGTCTTTCTTCTCTTTCTCATTCTCCTAGCTCTTCTTTCATTCTCCTGGGTGGTTACCAACATGCAGTGTATGCCGGACTGTGTGGTGTGGCGTGTGCGTGTAAAAAAAGAATAACAAATGGAAAGAAAGAAGAAAAGGATGAAAATGGGGATTCACTGGCCAGAAAAAGCCACTTCAATCAGCTGTGTGGTGGATGCCAGGCTAAAATTAGTAGAAATAGGTTTTTCATTTGACCCGACGAGACCACACGACACTTGCAGACCACAGCACCAACAGTTCACCAGCCACACTCCACGAAAGCAAGTAGTATTACTCCTGACTCCTGGCAACAAAGAATTAATTCTAAAATTAGTGGCGGTCAATTCATCAGCCTTGCAAGCTGTAGAATGGTGTAATCCCAGCACTAGTTGCTATGTCTATCATAGCTGTTCGCTATCATCGCTTCTGCGATGGGCATGCAGGTTTGAGGTCTGAGGTGTGTGTGTGTGTGTGCGAGAGTCACGAATGCAGCTGGGCTCAATAGGTGTAAGGCTGAAGTCGAGGCTATAGGTATTATTGAGTAAAGGACCATTCTGGAAAATTCAGCATAATTGTATTTCTCTTGCTTGGCTGTTCAATACGAATCATTAGCCCTCTACTGTCTGCTATCTCAACCCTACAGCCTCCCATTATAATGGAACTCCCTTCAATTTAGACTACGTCTTTGGGAAATCCTCAAATATATATAATAATCATAAATAAGTCCCGCCGGAGAGTGGTAATAAGGCAGGTGTAGGGTGTACCTATTCGGAAGGGCTGACTGGTAGCATGTGCACAGAAAGTAAAGAGAGGTACGTTTGTAGGGATATCGCTCTAGGCGGGCATAAAAACTCGCCCTAATAGCTTACACCTGTCCCGCTTCACCATTGAGTCTGTTATTTACAACGTAGAGCTTGTGGGTGACTGGGTCGTAAAGAAGCTACTTCAATTTTATGTCGGAGATTGGGGAGGAACCACATTCATCCGGTGGCAAGTATGTATGTATGTATGTATGTATGTATGTATGTATGTATGTATGTATGTATGTATGTATGTATGTATGTATGTATGTATGTATGTATGTATGTATGTATGTATAACTCATAATCACAAGGTGATCGTAGAGGCATTAATCAGCGAGAGAATTGTGAATGATGTCTCTGAATCCACCTCTATCGTGTGCTGCATGAGAGAGAGCATGCAAGGGAAGACCCGTCCAACTTTTAATGTTAGAAATCCATGATGTTGCGGGTGGCAAGTAGCAAAGCTCAAAAGAGACACAAGCGGAAAGGTTGGTATTGCATTCCTGCCCTGTACGCAAACTGGCCTCCAGGGGACCAACCGCAGTCAGTTTCTGGAACGTACTACCAGAGGTGAAAGAAGATGATTAATTTTGAAAGGGGCCATGGTTGGGAGAACTTCCAAATTCAAAGGGTAAACTGGGAAAGTTAAGCCAAATATTATGCCGGCATAATCCGCCAAGGGCTACACACAGCGTATATTGCGTATACCATACAGCAAAAAGCGGTACGCCGGAGTCGAGATACAACATTGCAACGAATACAGTGTCAATAAGCGAGAAGGCCTTTCCCAGTTCCCACTTGAGAACTGGTGGTTTTGCAACTTATGAAAGCGCGGATAGCCCATATTATGTTGTAGTCTTTTGGACGCTGAGTCAACTGGTTTTGGTCCGAAAAGGCTGCAATGCAGCGTTTGGCCCTTATTCCCATTCGAACACGATTGAGCAAGCAGTCACGTGCTCCTGCGTACACCACTCACCTGGTCACCGTGCCTCAGGTTACAACTTACAGTCTGTTTGGGCGCGTTCTTGTCGCTCGAGTTGAACCTTTGAATCTTTGAGTTGAAACCTGGCGTGACCAGCAAGGTCCCGGGTTCGAGTTAGGCACCGGCGGGTTATGCCGGCATAATTATTGGCATAATTTGGTGGTTGAAAATTTGGAGCATAATTTGGCATCCTTTCGGAGGTAGGAGCATAACTACATCATTATTGTACCACAGTTCTAGTATGTAGGCTACACAATTGTGTACAATCATGCATGCACCTGATCAGTCCTAGTCCTGGTGGTCTGCATGATAAAGGGTTTGGAGGTCATGCAGATAATGTTTTCAATGAAAAGCAGGGTAGAAATCATGGCCATACATTATTGTATGCTCGAGCTCGTCTTCTTCAAAGTTCTTTCTCACACGGATACAGTTCATGTGGCAGAAGATACCGGAGTGAATCAGCCTTTATCAGGTATCCTGGGGCAGACGAAATAATGACGGGTAGTCCGCAAAACTCCACGTACACGTAATTAAGGGGGAAGTTAAGGCTAAAATCAAAATTTCATCAGTTGTAGTCTTCGGGGTGCTGAGTCGAATGGTCTTGGTCCGAGAAAGCTGAGACGCTCCCTTCCTACTTGAATCCCAATCGAACTCGTGCACTTCCACCGAAACTGGGTGACTGCGCCCTACTATAGACCTAGCACTGATCTCAAGCTCCTCCTCCACCACGTCCACTGCAAGACCAGGCAGGGATGAACTGATTTACAAAGACTGCAATGTTATTCCATGTGATATTTCCGATCACCAACTTGTTCGTGTGACCTACACTATCCATGCTACCACCAGCACGCTCAAGACAAACAGACAGGTACAAGTACGAAAGCCACCGCTGCGCGCGTTGAAGATCAAGCAATTCCAAGAGACAGCTGCTAAGCATATGTATACTCTCCACCAGCAGATCACACGCAGTTCATCACAGATGTCTCTAGATAGTTATACTGAACACTGGCAGGATGCAGTCAGTGATGCCTTGAATGAGTACTGCCCACTAAAGACCGTTAACGCCAAGAAGAGCTATACTCCATCGCCTTGGATAGACGATGAGCTCCGGCAGACTTTATTCAAGCGTAAACGAGCACATCGTGCAATGATAAAACGTCCAGATCGCCCAGACCTGCTGCAACAATTCCGAACTCTACGAAGACAATGCAAACTTTTGACTAGGAAGAAACGGTCTACATACTTCCAGCAACAACTAATCAATCATCGAAACCACCCAAGAGAGCAATGGAGTGTCATGAACAATCTACTGGGTAGAATTAAAATCAACCAGGAACCTGCTGCCGAAGTAGCCGACATCACAAAGACATTTACAGACGTTGTCAACGATACATCACTTTCTGGCAGTACACTACGCACTCCCAATGGCCCTTTATCGGAATACTCACTGACACAGTTCACACCAGTCACTGTTCCACAAGTCCAACTCCATATCCAGAGAATGAACAGTCGTAAAGCAACAGGACCTGATAACATCCCCGCCCAGGCTTACAAGCTCATCAACGATGAGATCGCCCCATCTTTGGCCAAACTATTTACCATGTCTCTTACATCTGGCGATTTTCCATCGACTTACAAACTAGCAAATGTGCGGCCTATCTACAAGCGTGGAGATAAGTCAGTCCCATCCAACTATAGACCAATATCACTCCTGTCCCACATGTCTAAGCTACTGGAACATATTGTACACGACCAACTAATGTACTATATCTATAATGCACCACCACCACTGGTACCCCTACCTGCTGAGCAATTTGCCTACCGCAGAGGCCACTCCTGCGAGGACTTGCTCACTCCCGTGATCAACGACTGGATGCTCTCCTTGGACAAAGGTGATTATGTCGTAGCTGCCTTTCTAGACATGTCTAAGGCATTCGACACAGTTAGTCATGCAGTTCTACTGAGTGAACTTCTGGAGATCGGTGTCGGTGGTACTGCCTTGCAGTGGTTCTGTAGCTACCTTACCCACAGGAAGCAACGTGTAGTCACCAAGACACAACACGGCCTAGAATATAGCTGCAACAGGGGGGTTCCGCAAGGCTCCGTCTTGGGGCCCTCTCTCTTCAATCTATCAGTCAGAAAGCTCCCCTCTGTACCCCGGCACTGCAAGGCTCGACAGTACGCGGACGATGTCTCCCTTTACAAAGCTGGCAAGAACGTTGAACAGTTGGGCAAGGAGCTGACGGAAGACATTGTCAAAGTGAAAGAGTTCTTGGCGGGCAGAGGCTTACTGCTGAATCCTTCCAAGACGCAGTTTGTCGTGTTCAGGTCAAAGTGCAAGCCCCTTGACCCCAGCGTCGCTCTACAGCTGGGTGAGGTCACAATCAACCCTAGTGCACACATTCGATACCTTGGCGTTGTACTCGACGAACATCTCTCCTTCGGAGAGCACGTTAGCCAACTAGAGCGGAAAGTTGGAAGTAAGTTAGCCATGTTCAGAAAGGTCCGAGATCACATGACGGTAACTGCGAAGCGTGCATTTTACATTTGTTCCATTCAGACAGTACTCGAGTATGGGAGTAACTCATTTGCTCATTGCTTGTCAGTAACTCTTCATGACCGTCTAGTCCGTCTTAGTAATAGAGCTCTACGCATTGTGTTCAGTATGCCTCGCTTTTCTGACGTATCCCTTGTTAATGCACGCCATCACATTCTCCCTTTGTCTGTGCGCTATCAGTTCAAACTCTATATCTTAGTGTTTCGTGTCCTGAATCAGTTAACTACTACTCTCCTTACTGATTGCTTTTGCCTTCGTTCTACTTCTACTCGTACCAATTCCTGCACTCGCTCTCAGGTATCTTCGTCTGTCACTCTACCAAAAGCT